AGCCCACCCCGCGCTCTTCGTTCGAGTGCGTCGTCTCCAACACTCAGATCTCTGCGGCTGCCTGACCTTGTCTTTCTTTTTCTTTGTTTTTTCTTTTTTGTCCACCAGGGAGCTGACGGCCTGGATCCAGGCCAAGTACGTCGAGCAGCGATTCCGGCCCACGCCCAAGACCGCCGCGGAGTGGGCGCGGTTCGAAGCAGAAGACGCCCGGCTCCTGTTCTCTTCGCCGTCGTCGTCTTCCTCGTCTTCATCAGCAGCTGCGATTCGGCCATCGGCCACAGTCCGTGGCCTGCCCGCCGCGACGCCCGCCCGGAGGCTGCACACACTGCCCAGCCGCATCAAGTCCTGCGATGACGGCGCATCAGCCAGTTTGTCCGCTGCGTTCCGGCCGATCGGCGATGAATTGTGGCCGTCTACGACGTCGGCCTCGGCCGAGGCGATGCCGGCAGAGGCCGAGACGGCGGCGACGCCCCGCCGTCGGAGTAGCGCCAAGCTTACCAAGCGCGACATCGAGCGCGGGTGGGACAGCATCCAGAGCGAGTGGCGGGTGGGCGAGACCGATCGCGAGGAGCTGGTCAAGTTGCAGCAGCTCGAGCGCAAGCGCATGATCGACGAGGCCAAGCAACGCAAGAAGGCCAAGGGCCGCCTCGAACGCCGATCCGTCACCATGCTCTCCTTCACTTCACCATTTTCTTCATCGTCATCGTCATCATCACCGTTTTCGTCGGCATCGTCATCATCGTCTTCATCGTCGTCATCGTCGCCATCGTCTCTGTCATCGTCATCCTCCTATTCCTCGGCGCCCTCGACATCGTCGGAGCAAAACAAGAAAAAGAGCGAAGGAAGAATGAAGCGACTCTCGCGGGACCTGACAGCTCTGTTCTCCTCGTCGACCGACGCGCTTCTCGGCCGCAAGGGCTCCTCCGCCGGCGAGAACGAACAACGCAAACACGTCGCCCGCCGGCGCAGCGTCTCTGTGTCGTCTTCGTCTTCATCATCGGCGTCGGCATCAGCCTCGGCGCTCAGCTCGGCCCCCGTCATCATGGTGGGCGGCTCAATGAAGATACCACCGGCCAAGCCGAGCGATGACGGAGAGGAGGAGACGATCACTCTCTTTAGACAGAGGAAGACGACACGCAAAAGCGAGAGACGAGCAAAGAGCGAAGACGACACAGGAAAGACAGAAAAGAACGAAAAGGAGAAGACGACCGTGAAGGGAAAGAGCGCGAGCGAGAAGGGGAAGCAGCTGCGTGGACAGGCTTCACCACGGGGAAAGGACTTCATCGAGAAGCCAAGCAGGGAGGCGGCCGACGAGAAGAAGAAGAAGAAGGTGGAGGTCAGGGAAAAGAAGGAGAAGAGTCCAAAGATGAAGGCCAAGACGGCCAAGCCGAGCGGCGACGGCGCGCCTCCGATAACTGAGGATACCCACCACCGCTCCACCAAGAGACGGCTGTGATCTTGTGGCATCAGGGGTCGAATAAGCTCAAGTGCAGTTGTACATAGTGAACAACATACCAGCAGTGCTTAAAGTTGTTGTACACACAGTGTACTAACTGATGGTGAGGCATCTGAAGTCCATACTGGATATTGACTGGCTCAAGGCATGTTGCCTACATGATGTCTCAACTGGTTTGTGGCTTGCTACCATATGTGAGAACTAGCTTCAGGACACAAGATGTTCTGCTTGCTCCCCACCATACCCACCCTTTCCTCCCATCCATAACTCAGCTGAGTAATTCACAAAATCAATGCATTCAGGTCTTTCTCTGGAGAACCAACTTATGAACTGTTTGATCTGTTTGTGTGTGTGTTATAATAGGGGGTGCTTTCTATCACCAAAACCAACTGGAGGCTCTTGCTGATCCTACATGTCAATTATCATGGATGTATCTGCAGATCAGGTACCTATCCCTTATCCCTGGAAGGATCTCTACAAACTTGGTGTTCATGATCAGCACTTGTCTCACTCAAACCACAGTGTTTGAACAATGGATGGACAATCTTCACTTTAAAACAAGAGTGGCAAGCACGGACAAGTGAAAGTCAAGGGATGGATGTATTCAGCGTTTGTCGTATTTGTTGCGGTGGTGGCCGAGAGCATCGGGCTCGTCGTGCGCCACTTGGTGGCCGATCGGTCGGGGGTCCATATAGTAGCACCCCACTCCCTGGTGTCTGCACACGTACTCGTACTGCAGATCGATCGCTCGTATCACCCCCGACCCCACCGCTGCCCGCAACACAAGAAAACTACGTAAGGCGGCGCGTGTGCTGTGCGCGTGTGCGGTCGTGTGATCGTGTGCGGTGGTACCTCGAAACATCCCCATGACTCCGATCGCACTTATCATATAGCCGTAACTGCACAGCGGGGGCTGCTTCCTGCCCCTCCTGCCGGCCAGGTAGTCCCCGTACTCGGGTGGTACGGAGCGGGCGAGGCACCAGCCGGCCAATATGAGAGCCCAGTCTTTTGGTGCCGATCGAAAGGCCGCCGGCCAGACGTGTGCGTGCGTCGCGTTGACGATCGCGTCGTCTTCGATCACCGAGACGGGCAGCAGGTCGAACACCAACGAGTAGTAGTAGGCCGTCATGTGCTTGAGCGACAGGGAGATCTCGCGCTTGGAGATAGAGAAGTCGGCCGGGTAGGAGCCGTTCTTGAACTTGACGTAGGCTTTGGGCGGCTGCGGCGCGCGTTTGGGCCAAAAGCAGCGGATCAGCTCGGCGTCGCTGCCGATCAGGGCGACATCAAGGTAGGGCGCCTCCCAGAGCGTGAGCAGCCCCGAGCTCTCCACCTCGTAGGGCCGCAGCTGGTCGACAAGCAGCTGCTGGCGGTGCTTGAACTTGTCGTAGCTCACCAGAAACATGCGGTTGGTGCCGTAGCCCAGGTCGGACCTGGTCCAGCCCTCGGGTGTGGCGGGCGGACGCGCCACGGGCGGGTCGATGGCGGCCTCGAGCAGGAGCTGGCTTACTGTGAACCGCCGGAGGTGGTGCCTCACGCAGTCGGGCACGCCGGTCCAGTTGAACCGGTGCTCGCGCTGCTGCAGCTGCTGGTCCAGGTCCTGGCGCAGGGGCGAGCCCAGCGCCGCCGCGTTGAACTCCCCTGGTGGAGGCTGCGGCGGCTGCCGCTCTGGCTTTAGTTGCGTGGTGGGTGGTGGTGGCTGTGAAGAGATAGAACCGGTGGTGTGCTGGAGTGAGCTGGCGAGTGGAGGGGGTGAGTGGGTGATGGAGGCGGTGCGGTCGCATTCTGCGCCTACTGTGGTCGTGTGCAAAAAGTGCAGGCCGCCGACGACAGTGGCCCCCAGGAGCAGGAGGAAGACCCCCATGCCGACGAAGAGGTGGTGTTGGTCATGTTCTCTCTCCCTCTCCGCAGAGCTGCTCATCTCGAGTTACTCGAGGCTCGCTGGCTGGCCCCGTGGGCGAGGGCCAGTGTTTCGCGCGTAGTGCGGTCCGTTTAGAGGAATGATAATATTATTTTGCTGTTATTGCACATCTCGCCAAGCGTTGCTGGCCTATTTCAGGCAGACCTTTTTATCACGTGATTTTTTAATTTATTGTTGGTGTAGTTGGAGAAAGAGAGGAGGAAGCATTTACATCCATAAAAGGGGGGCATCTAAACAAAAGAAGAGAAGAGGAAGAGGGAGAGAGGGAGAGTACAGCCGGCAGGGGAGAGGCGGTGAGTGTTGGTCGTTCGAGATTACAGTGGTTGGAATGGTTCGGAGGTGGATGACGATCAGCAGCTCAGTCGTCCTGTTGCTGCTGCTGCTGCTGCTGCTGTTCGGCGGAGCCGTACATCATGTACTGTTGTTGCTGGTGATGGAGAGGCGGTGGGAGGTGATGCCGCGGCGGTCCGCCCGATTCTGAGTCGCCGCCGTTGTGCAGAGGTCCGGGATAGGGCGGCATTCCTGGCATGCCAGGCCAACCCCGCATCTGCTGGCCCATCGGCCCGCCGCCGCCGAACGGAGAGCCGCCGCCCATCGAAGGCCCGCCGCCACCGCCGAAGGAGGGCATCCCCGGAAGGCCGCGCCCGCCCATGGACGGACTGCCGCCCATCTGTGACGGGTGGGGCATTCCACGCATATCTGGCATGCCGCCGCCGCCGTAGAGTGACGAGGGACCGCCCGGCATGCCGCTGCGATGCATGCCGTGCGAGGCGTAGGGGTTGAGGTGCGGCGGGAGCCCGCCCGACGACTGCCCGCCCTGACCCTGCTGCTGTTGGCCCAGCGGCATGCCGACGCCGCCCTGCGGGTGCTGCAGTGCTCGACGCTCGAGCATGCTGGCCCGCTCCTGCTGCATTCGATAGTCGAGCTCCTGCTGTTGCTGCTGCTGTTGCTGGTGGTGCTGCTGTTCCATTTGCGATTGTCCGTAGCCGCCGCCGCCGCCGCTGGGGCCGAGGTGGTGCGAGAGCGGACCGCCGGGACCCATGCCCATGGCTCGCTCCCGATTGATGAGGTCCTCCATCGATAGGCCGCGTTCGCCCTGCGACGTGAGGTGCGGTGGCAACCCGCCGAGTCGTCCGCCCATGCCCTGCGCATTCGTACGACACCGACGTGTAAGCGTGCATTACGACACACGACACACACGACACACGCGTACCTCGTAGCCGCCCTGGGTGAGGTGGTCGGGCTTGGGAGGATATCCTCGTTCCTGCATCATCCGACTGTCCATCCCGCCCAGCCCCTCGAGCCCGCTCCCCGCACGCGATCCCATTCCGCCGCCGCCGACTCCGCCGAGACCAAGCCCTAGCGGGTCGCCTCCGCCTCCGCTGCCCGGGAATGGCAGCCCGCGCTCGTGCATGCCCATGCCACCGCCACCGCCGTTGCTGCCTGGCAGGTCCGGCGGCATCTGACGTCGCTGCATGTCGCCCTGCATGAACGAAGGGAGGCCGCCGCCACCGCCGTGTCCAGTTCGGTCCTGGCCAGGGAAGTGCGGCGACGTCGAACTGGCTCCTGCCGGACCACCCGATTGGCCAAACGACGGAACGCCGCCGCCCAGATGCGACATTCCCATGCCCGGCACCGGCCCGTGATCTATGTTGTCGACACATACATGCGTGTGCCAGCGAGCAACAAGCGGAAGCGAATAAACATTGGAGAAATGAGAATTGTAGAAAAGCCAAAAGAAAAGGATAGAATTAGAATTGTGGAAAAGGGTGGTGTACCAGTGGGACGACCGAGATCGAGGGGCCCGCCGGGGCGGCCGTCGTAGGACTTGGCGGTCTTCTCCTGGAGGGCGTCGTTGAGCTTCTGGGCGATGAGGCGGACCGACGGGTAGATGGCCGACATCTTGGAGAGCCGGTGGATGTGCTCGTGGACCTGGTCGAACCGGCCCTCCTCGAGCTGAATCATGGCCATCATCTCGACGCCGCTAAGCACCATGACGGGCACGTAGGGGAACTCGGGGTGCTTGGCCAGCTCGCTGACCTCACTGGTGCACTCGACGGCCATCTCCCGCAGGCCGAGCGAGCAGTAGCACTGGGCGCGGATGACCTCGAGGAAGATGCGGAAGCCGACCTTGGAGTAGTTGGACGACTTGTCGGCGGCGAGCATCTTCTCGAGCTTCTCGAGCACCTGGAGCATGACGGCGTAGTCGGCGTTGTAGTCCATGCGCAGCTTGGCCATCTCGAGCTCGACCTGCACGGAGATGATGGCCAGCGTGAGGGTGAAGTTGCGGTTGAGGTTCGACGTGGCCGGGTTGGTGGCCGGCGTGATGGTGTTCGACAGCAGGGGCTCGAGCCGCATCTTGAGCTCGGTGAAGACCTCGAGCTTCTCCTCGTGGTGCGGCGAGGCGAGGCCGATCGTCATGAGGATGAGCATGTAGTAGTCGCTCGATCGGGTGTCGAGGTGCTGGCACATCTTGCGGGCCAGCTGGAGGTAGTACATGGTCTTGTCGGCCTCGGCCTGGCCCGACATGTAGTAGGCCAGGATCATCAGGCCCTGCGCCACCAGCCCGTCCGTTTGGTCGAACACCGCGCCCAGCGTGCGCCGCGCCTTCAGCGCAAACTCCAGAGACGCCGGCTGGTTGCCCGTCACCCGCGCACCTGCATTCAAGAGTAAATGTCGCTTCAGCACCACACGCCCATGGTGGCCAGCAAGCCGCTGACGTGTCGTGGCGTGTGCACGTTACCGTTGGCCAGCACGGCATACATCTGGAAGGCGAGTGGCGTGCGCTGGTTGGAGCTGATGACCTTGAGCGCGGCGCCCGGCTCGAATACCGACGGGTGGGCAGAGATGTGCCGCGAGATGTAGCGCTGGTAGGCGTCAACGTACATGGCCAGATTCGAGGCCTGGTCCGCGCCGCCCCAGCCGGCGCCCGTGCTGCCGCCGTAGCCGCCCGCCATATCACCGCCTTCTCTGCCGCCGGCCGCCATGAGGCCTCCACTGTAGGCCGCCGCTGCCGACGACGTGGGCGAGTTGAACGAGTCCGAAGGCATCGTGCCGCCGCCGCCTCCGCCAGCTCCTCCGCTTCCATCGCTCGACGGGGAGAAGGGCGCGCCGCCACCGCCGCTGGTCGAGGACGGAGGCGAAGATGGACCGCCGGCCTTATGATAGAATTTGTCCTTCCAGTCCTATGTAAGATGTCCAAGCATAGGGGAGGGAGAGGCGAGATTGAAATTGATTGTTTGAATTCAGATAGATTTTGGTGGGCGAGGGAACCACAAAAATATTTGACTATCGCATTTAATAAGAAATAAAATAACGGAAAGGAGGATGTGGTTGTGGGGGGGGGCAATACCTTCTTCATTTTCTTTTCTGATTCGATTTGCTTGGTGAGGGAGGTGATGAGCTCCTGCAGCTGCCGCTCGGACACGGGTCCGCGTCGGCTGGGTGGCGCCGAGTAGCCGCACTGGAAGCCCTTCTTCGAGCAGGGGGCGCAGGGCTCCTTGCCGTCGCATCGGCTGTGCCGCGTTCGGCAGTTGTCGCAGGCCTTGTTGATGTACTTCCGCCTTTTCTTTGATTTGGGCTGTCCATTCTTGTCCCGCCCCATCTCGTCCTCATCGTCGTCGTCCAGCGAGCCGAGGTCATCCGGTGAATCGGGATCGCCTAGCATGGAGTCCTCCGTGCCCCCGCCGCGGCCATCCCCGCGATCCATGCCGTAGTTGGCGCTGCTGTCCATCAAGTAGTGCGCGTATGGCAGAGAGGAGGAAGATGATGGTAGATCCAGCGCTCTGGTGGAGGTGGAAGCACGCTCGAACCGAGTGGCTGCCGTATGGGGCTGGTTCTTCTAGTGCGTCTTGCAGACGGAAAAGCGAGATTCAAATTTTCGATTTCGATTTTCTTCTCCTCGTTCCCCTTCAAATGTAAACCGCCTGAGGCAATACGATTCCGAAGAAATGAGCAAGTAAGTCGATCGATAGGAATGGGCCAACGTTTGAACTTGAACGAGCTGTTGTTGTCGGGGCTCGTTCTCAAGGTACCTCGCGGAAGCTCGCGTCGCACCAAAAGTGGACCAGTACAGTTCAGAGCACGAAGAAGGTAGGGTACACGGGGCAGCCGTGTGATGGGCCTGCCAGTAACCAGACCGTGTGCGGTGCCCGAGCGCGAAGAAGAGGAACAGCGGAACGTCAGGCCGCGGATTGATGTCGACTCCAAATAGCACAAAGCCTAAATCAAAGCCATTGGTCCATTAAATGGCCGAGATGGAGAAAGCGGCCGACTTTTCACCCCGCAACAGTCCACCCGCATACACATTTCCGGCGAGGTCTGTTACGCGGAATCACAAGAATTCCTGACCCGAATGGCCAACGAAGCCTCAGATTCCCCGACGAAGGAAGGCTTCAAGAACGAAAAGTGAACGCCACCATCCTGTTGAGGACCAGAACGCTCCGTGCGGTGGCACGGAGATGACTGGGCCAAACCAGGACAAGACCAGGAACAACGCAACGGGGAGCAGGTCCGTTTTTGCCAGGTTGAGTTCCTGACCGAGAACTCGGGCCGTTCGTACCCCTACGCAAGTGTTCGCTTCCGCTCAGGAGACTACCGGCATCCATGCCCTGCACAGCCGCGACGCCTCTGATAAAACTAGAAAAAATAAAATAAAAATAAAATAAGAATTTCATAATTAAAATCTATTATAAGTGATTTTACCAGATGTTGCGGCAGGCAGCTTGGCCGGGCGCCGGGCGAAGTGTTGCCAACACGAACAAGAGGCTTGCTCCCGGCACATCCCTCACTATCTGCACAAAATCGCTTAGATTTAATCTGCGACCACAGCTCTACTCGACGCCATCGCGATTAATTGAGGAATTCGACTCTGCCACATCTGGTCCCATCAGCAGCGCCAGCACCACAGGTCAGGCAGCGGGGTTGTTCAATGTCCCTGGCCTCGTGTCGCCCAGCTCCTGGGGGAGTCTCGTGAGTCGCGTCGAAGACGAGGTGGAGCGTCTCGTGGCGCACGTCCGCCAGCGCACCGCCGACAACAGGAGGCACGCACATGAACACAACACCAACATCGATGACACATCAGGTGAAGAGATTCTCACATGTTTTTTTTATGGTACACAGGAACCCTTGCTGGAGACCAAGGTGGATCTGGTGAGGACTCTCGATCGCATATCGGCCACCATCTGTAGCGTCGTCGACCCTGCTGAACTGTGCAGGTCTGTGTGTTGAAGCCTTTCCGCAACTGTAACACGAGCGAGAGCCTCTAACTCTCAACTCCCGCGGTGCACAGGAACACGCACCCGTCCGAAGAGTGGGTAGGTGCTGCAGAGGACTGCTATGCACAGCTTTCGACGCTCATTCACCACCTCAACACCGACACCAGCCTCTATCATGCGACCGCGACCGTCACCAATGATGGCGATGGTATGACGTTGTCGTGCCTGCGTCGATGTTACTTGCGTTGCCCTGACCGACGTTCGCGTGGCACCTCTGTGTGTGTGTGTGTGTGTGTTGTCGGTTCAGGCGACAGCGCGTTTGAAAAGTTGACGCCCGAGCAGCAGATCGCCGCGCGGGCGTTCAAGTTGGAGTTTGAACTCAGCGGCATCCACTTGCCCGACGACAAGCGCAGGAGGGTACGCACGACACGCATCGCCACCGCACAGACGAGTAAGTTAACAGATGCTTTTTCATATTAAAATATTTTATCTGTTTTCTAGGTGGTGGCGATCAACGAGGACATCACGGCGCTGGCCTACGAGTTCTCGGTCGCCGCGTCGTCGGGCGAAGACCTTTCTGGCTCCTCGCTCCGACTCGACGAAAGCGCAATAGCCTCGCTCCCTCCCAAGTTGGCTAAATCTGTCCGGAGGTGCCATGTCGTGTGTGCGTGTGCGGTGGTGCATGTGCGTGCGTTGTGTACTCATTGGTCGATCGATACAGAGTCGGCACACAGGCGGTACTGCCGCTCAACCCGACCGTGCTGACGACCGTGCTGCAGCACGTCGACAACGGCGCATTGAGGCGACAGGCCTTCGTCCTCTCGCAGCGCCACTCGCCGCGGGCGCTCAAGCTGCTCGACGCGTTGCTTCTCAAGCGGGACGAGCTGGCCAAGGTGCTCGAGTTCCCCTCGTATGCTGCGCTCTCGCTGGCCAACCGAATGGCCAAGAAGCCGGCCACCGTCCACCACTTCCTCGACGATCTCAGCCGACTGGTCAAGGGCAAGGCCGACAAGGTCCATACCTTGAGACATTCTTCGCTCTTTGCCCCCCCCCCAGCCATTCGCTCTTCGTTCTTTGTTAGTCGGACTTACAGCGGGGGGGGGAACAAGCAGGAGATAGATCTGCTCAAGGGGCTGAAGAGGCAAAAGGAAGGGGCACAGGACGGCGGAGATACGGCCATCTATGGGTGGGACCGACTGTTCTACTCCGAAATGTGCAAGACCAAGACCAACCTCAACGAGGTACCTCGTCCCTCCACTCTCTCCATCAACCAACGCTCGCTACTCTCTCCAACACGTGTCGTGCGTGTGCGTGTGTGGTGTGTGTCGTGTGTTGTGCGTGCGTGTGCGGTGTGTTTCGTGAATGTGGGATACTGGACAGTATTTTTCGCTGGGCCACTGCATGGCCGGTCTCGACACCATCGCGTCGAACCTATTCGGCCTTTCGCTCGACGTGGTACCCATGGATCAAAGCGAGACCTGGCATCCCTCTGTCCGGTTCGTGTCCGCATTCGCGCGCGCGCGTGTGTTGTGCGTGTGTGTTGTGTTGTGTGTGTGTGTGTGTGTTAACATTCTCCTGATCAGAAAGATCCGCGTCACACACGAGACGGAGGGCACCGTGGGCTACGTGTACATGGATCTCTTCTCGCGATCCAACAAATTCTCGCACGCGGCCAACTTCGCCATCCAATTCTCTCATCTACACGCGACCGACGCCGGCACTGCTGGAGACCCGTCTACCACTGCGAAGCCCTGGGTACGCTGCCCCACGCTCTCTCGCTTTTTTCGTTCTTTTCTTCGTTCTTCGATTCGCGCCCGATCGGACTGCAGAAACTCACACCCCGGCTGATCGATTCAGCTTGCGTCGGAGCTAAGCAACGGCTACGTGCTCCCGCGCGTGGCGCTGGTCTGCAATTTCGGCACCGGACCCACGGCCCAGCGGCCCTCGCTCCTCTCCCACCACGACGTCGAGACGCTCTTCCACGAATTCGGCCACACTCTCGCCACCATGCTCTCGCGCACTGGTACGTTCTTTTCTCCTTCGTTATTCGCTCTTCGTTCTTCTTCGCTGATTGCGTGGAGCACGCAGAGTTTCAGCACGTGGCGGGGACGAGGGCGCAGTTGGACTTTGTGGAAACACCGTCGACGCTCATGGAATACTACGCCTACTCGCCTCGCGTGCTCTCCCTCTTTGCCCGCCACTGGCGCACCGGCGCTCCCATCCCTGAGTCCGACCTGGCCGCACTCCAGGTCCGCACGCGCACGCACTGCACACGCACCACACAGACACGCAAAATGCTGACGTCAGGCACGTACGCGCAGGCGAACGCGGCGCGGTTCGGAGGCATGGAGGCCCAGCTGCAGGTGCTGTACTCAATGATGGACCTCCGCTTCCACGACGCGCATCCACTGCCGGCCTCCACCACCGACATCCTGCGCGAGCTGCAGAATCGATACTACTCCATCCCCTACGCCGGTATCCCATACGTGTGGTCACGTCGTGTCGTGCGTCGTGCGTCGTGTGCGTATGCGTGTGCGGTGCGTGTCGTGCGGTGTTGGCGGCAAGACTGAGAGCGTTATCGGCGGAACGTAGAGGGGACGAACATGCAGGCGAGCTTTGGTCACCTGAGTGGCTACGGGGCGGGCTACTACAGCTACCTCTTCTGCCGCGTCTTCTCGGCCAACATCTGGCACCGCTGCTTCGAGCACGACCCCCTCAACCGACAATGTAGCACCCACTCGCCTCCTTCGTTTTCTCTCTTTTAGCTCCGATTGACTTCTGTCTTTCTTGTGTGGTTTTACTTCCAAAGTGGGCGAGCGCTACAGGGCGGAGATACTGCGATACGGCGGCGCGAAGGACCCCCACGAGATGATGCGCGCTCTCCTCGGCACCGAGCCCTCCCTCGACGCCTATCTCACCACCCTCGGCCTCAACAACAAACAATAATTCTCTGTTCTTTGTTCACTTCACTCAACAACAAGCAACATGTTGGTATTTTGGCGCGATTCCTGAATACGATGACTTGTGTGGGAGTGCGGGGGGAGGGGAAGGCTGGATGTGATGGATTACTGCTGCTCGTAGTACTCGCCCTCCTGGTACTGACCCTCCTGGTACTCGCCGCCCTCCTGGTAGTAGCCCTCGCCGCCCTCGTAGTACTCGCCGCCCTCCTGGTACTGCTGGTCGTAGCCGCCCTCCTGGTACTGGCCCTCGCCGCCCTCGTAGTACTGCTGGTCGTACTGGCCCTCGCCGCCCTCCGCGTACTGGCCCTCCTGGTACTGCTGGTCGTAGCCGGCCTCGCCGCCCTCGTAGTACTGTCCACCTGCACAGGTCACCCACCAACAATGAGGAAAAAAAGGGAAAAAGGAAAGAACGAAAGCGACGAGGGGGAAAAGAACGAAGACGTCTGGGGGGGGGGCGGTACTCTGGTCGTAGCCACCCTCGGTGTAGCCGCCCTGCTGGTCGTCGTAGGTCTGCTGCTGGTCGTAGCCGCTCTCGTCGTAGGTCTCGGCGACCATGGGCGACGGGGGCGGGATGGCGGGTGCGGCGGCCACGGG